ATACGTTGCGCAACAAGGTGATAGTGAGTACCTCGCGTCCATAGACGATACATTTCCCAGTACCTCTCTTGCTTTGAAAACAAGTGCATGCGGTCTCTGCTGTTTTTGTTTACCATGTGGTCAAACGACAAATGTTGTCCCCCAATCTTAATTTATTTACTAGTTCGGTACCGGACCTAGGTCCTTCTGCGAACACTTCGCGCGTCCAACAACGTTTACGTTTTCGCGCTTTTTTACTAAACAGGTACTCATTGCGCACAAAGCAAGGTCCGCCATGGTGGTTGGCGAAGATGAGACTAGAAAACTTCCCATCACAGTGTGGACGCTAGACGAGGCAAAGATCGGTGTTTCTACACCATGTCTATGTCTCAAGTCTAGACGGTCTCTAGACCACCTAAAGAAAATCGCGCAACGTGGTCTCCAAGTGAGTACTTACCTTAAAGGAACAACTCTATACAGTGTGTCCCAGAATAAAATGTCAATCTTTCGAATGGATATAAGACCTAAAAAATGGTAAGCACATGTCCCTATATAAAAATGTCTTCCCTGCGGAAAAATAGGACCTTGAAGAAGCGCTCCTGCCAATCGGTTCTTTTTAAATAACTTTTGAACGACACTGTATAATTCAAGGAAGCAGCAATAACTACATGGCGCTGGAAAGGTTACATGTAGAACTTGAGAGTCTATCGCCTGGTCCACAGCAACTGTTGAAAATGACCACATCCACCAAGCTTGCGTAGCTGTAGGTGTCTTGTCTTGGACATTTCTAGCTGAACTAGGAAAGAATAGTGGTTCTAAATAGGAAGTATGTACGTTGTAAAATTGACCACGCATATTTGCGGAGAAGTACAACACTAATAAAAATGAACTATCGGTCAAAACACCTTTGGAATAAATTTTTGTCCTTCAGCGGTGTTCCTACACAGACCCAAATTTGCACCAATGTTGCATATTTAAAATAAAGTTAACAAACTTGTGCTTGTATCGAACGGCGACAACTTCGACAGTGTAGAGGAAAAACGCGGTCAATTAATCAGTAATTCTGAAAAATTTTCACTGCCCGTATCAGTTTTTTTAATTATTCTAATTAACTGAATGTCACCAATTTAATTTGAAATAATATACTGTGATAACAATTTGCTTGAAAATAGAAAGCCATGTACCTGTTGTATTAAATTGTTTCATTATTTTAGTTAATTTAGTTTATGTAAAAAAGGTACATTAAAACAATTAAACATTTTAATAAAATCAGTTAAACTGTTTATTTGAATCGCGGACTCGTCAGGCCTCGGTCCTTCATTCGTGAATTATGGGAAGCATGCGACACAGGCAGTGCCAATGTTGCCATTGTTGGTATACGAGTAGTAGCTGTGAAGTGGACCAATTATGCTGATCAAGTAAAGTACTTGAGAATAAGGCAATATGACGGGTGGTTATGTATAATCATGGCATCGTCCATGTTGTCTTTGGTTTATTATTTTGGTGTTGTCTGCAGGTGTTATACAACAATTTGACAAATATCTGGAATGTCGAATGATTTACCCAGAATTTGTACCAGATCTATATCTTCTGCTTCTGCCCTTTCCCCTGTATCTCCTGATAGTCCCAATAGAGAGCTTTTATGGCTGAATGGTTCTTTCACCAAAAGCTTATAGCACTACTTTGCTAGTTGGGAATGCTTAGGTAAATCCACATGCCAAACTTTAGTTTATTCCAGTTGACGGTTTTGACGATATTAAAAAAATGGATTTATATTTTCAAACTTCAACACCCTGTAGCTTTTTAATGAAGCCCTCAAGGGAAAAATGGTACGTAGAAGACCCCCTTAAAATGCGGTCCAGTGTATGACGTATTATTTTTGGTCACGACTTGTGAATCACACTGCATAAGAAGTAGAGCCTCCTGTTCCTAGAAGAACAAATTGCATTCTCTTGAATTCCAAATACTTAGAACAGGTAAACACATTTTAATAGTTCAATAATTTTAAATAAATTTGTGTACTCGACTTATTAAATTTACTTAAACGGTTGAGTTTTGGTTTAGTTAAAACTTTTCTTCAATGTATTATTCGCGTTTTCCTGGTTGTTTTTGAATAGCAAAGCATCAATCTTTAGGACCTCCGATTTTCCTGAACTATCCTAAATATAGACAAGCTAGTGTCGCAGATTCCTAAATTTATCGCTTTAATTTCGGATGCTACCGAAACACGTCGTAAACCTACGCAATACAGACAATCAGTAGCAAACTTCGACATGTAACCAATATTCCACCCTAATTTACATGGGGAATTAGTATAATCGATAACATAACTGAATCTCAACAATTTTGAACCACATGCATGCCGGATTAGAGCTTTTGGGATCAGCTTAGTATTATTGTTAATACCTATTTTAAAATATCTCGCAAAAAGTAATTATGTGCAGCTTATTTAAAATCACAAAATTAATTATACATAATCATAGGGTATCCAATTTTAATCTCCCCACCTGCATATTTTGCAAACTGCGCTTCTTAGGAAAAAAAATTGTACCAAAAGGTATAGGACTTCGAGGAATGAAATGATGGCAACCGTGAGCATTACCTTGGCATCGGCCTTCAGCATCATTACAGAATAAGGCAAACGTTTTTTTCAACATTTTACGTCCAAATATAGCTTAGCTATGATCAAAACAACAAACAACTGCCTCTAGCAAAAATGTTTGACAGTACAGTTGTAAGGTTTGTGGGAATCGCCCAAAGATGACCTTAAGTATGATCTTGACCATGACCTCCAAGGTCAACTCAAAATTTTCAAAGAAAGTCCCTCACTTCTATCCTGGGTTGGAAAAAGCAGTAAATGTTACGTCCGCTGTGACCTTGACTTTAAGGTCAAGGTCAGGCCCTTCTTGAATATTAGGCAACCTCCTGACTTTCAAGCCAAAATCACCGAGAGCCATAAATTTGATATTAAACATGTAACATTCTACTTGACCTAAAGGGTAATGATCAAGGTCACATTTGGGTGATCCGCAAAGCTCACAACTGCGTAGTTAAACATTTTTGTTTACCATTTGACCATGAAATGACCCTGAAAGTTATGGTGACGGTCACTGTCATTATCATATTCGGACGTAAAATTGTCTTCGTCTTTCACTTCCGATGTGAAAAAAGGTGTCGGTCCAAGTCATGGTCACGGCCGCCATCCTCCTTTTACCCACAACTTTTGCTTAAAACTTTTTCTATTATGACCTTTCGAAATATTTGGGTGGGAAGATTAAAATAACTTATCGGTTGACGACAATAACGGAAATAAATCCCGTAATTTTAAGACGATATCAAAATATATCACCTTTTTCAAGCATATCCTCGCTTTGGACTTATAACTTTTAACCGGTAAACTGAAAATCTGCCTGGAACTAGAATTTGAAGAAAATTACTGCCACCCCAAGCAAATTGCGAAATATATTGCTAACATACTGATAAGATGACGGATTAGACTATATGGAGCAAAGACAAAAATACGCATAATTCAAATAAGAAGAAAAACTGTTATATATATACTCGTATAGGTATATATATACATTGAATGTTCTATTACACATCTACAGAGCCTAAGCTGTCATCAATTAAATTAATTGATAAAAAAGCTTTTGGAAAATAATATTGTACATGGATCGTTTTCCAATTGCTTATATAAACTTCAAAACACTACAGCTCTTGAAGAGTAAAACATAAGGATACTTTCAAAACTTACAAAAAATGTTTATACGGAAGCAGCAGTGCGCCGCTGAAGACTAAATACCTTGGCACCGCATCTGCTACCAGGAGCTTAGAGACGCTTTGTTAATCTGATTTTTAGCTGCCCAAGGTTTGTAGAATTGAAAAAAGCCTGAACAGGCAGATTGTTTCAATATATCGATATCCTAGAGGCAAAGGAGCGGTCGTATCGCCGCGCCGTTTTGGACGTGCAAAATTCGACACGGTTCAGATGAGACGCACAAGTTAGGCGAATCTGCCTGACAGGCTGATCACGAGACGACATCATGAAGTAGAGTTCTTAGAAGCAAAGCCCGTTTACATGGCTGTTCGTTAGAGAAGAATCATCGGTTAGTCGTACAACCCTCCTCTGTACAGCATTGAGGCTTGATACTGTAGTGGGGGTGGCACCACCTCAAAGATTTGACCAGTACCAGAGGCTGGATCTTATCTACGCCTTGTTCAAAGTGAAATTAGTTCGCAACGCTTAGCAAATATTTTATCTTTTTCCCAGCAGCTACCTCAAATGCTGAGATGTGCTCGTGCCAGTACAAGTCCTCAGTGATCTGGACTCCGACCAGCCGAAATGAAAGGCTTTTTGTTATCATGGAAATCCGATAAGCGCTAGGGCGCTTCCTGTTAGTTAGCTGTAGCAGACGAAAAGGACAGAACCATCCAGCGCCAGACCCTGATCATCGAAAGCCAGGCCCAGCAAATAAAGAAGCTGACTGAGACAGTTAGGGACCAAAACAGTAAAATGGACTGTCTGACCACCCAGGTAACACAGTTAATCAATAATGCAAAATTTAATTTTAAATCTGACAAGGCTGTCAATTTAAAAAGACCTCTTGAAAATTTAACTGACGTGACATCGACCGAGGATGAAATACAGAATGACGGATTCATCCAGGCCAAGTCTAGGCAAAGACATCGACAAAACGAACAAAACCGACAAGACGGATGACTTCCCACCTCTCCCAAAAGCAAAGTCAAAATTCAAGTTGACAATCCCCTCAAAACCTTCTGCTTTATTAAACGTATCAACTTCTTCTGCCACTTGTCCTATGACGGTCGATGCAGCGACCACATCTTCTCAATCTTTGGCCACTGCATCGACTGACGGTGCATTATCTCAACAATCTGATGTTGCTGGTGAGTTGACCAGCTCAGCACCCCGCCAGGGGCGAATCACGCCCATTGTTTTGCGTGATGCGATCAAGTAAACTACAAGTTTATAAGCTTAGGCATTAAGATAGAACGCGCAGTTGCCGTTGATGCGGGAATCAGGATTTTGGCGAAAACTGAAGATGACTACCGAAGAATCGTTCGCCTGTTCAGGGAGGAGGACGTGCTCCATCCTACGTTCCCTCTTCCTTCAGAACGAAATATTCACGCGGTAGTCAGAGGCATACCCGCAATATTTTCGGAACAGGAGATCAAAGGGGAATTAGAACAGAGGGGATATACTCCTCTCCACATTATCCGACTCAAACGCAATGGCATCGCACCCATGCCTTTGGTGGTCGTGATACTGCCCAAGATTGAAAAGTCCCAGCAGCTGTTCAATGAACATGAGCTGCTGGGTCTAGCAATCAGAGTTGAAGTTCAAAAGAACTCTAAACTTATTGGGCAGTGCCACCACGGCCAAAGGTATAGTCATGCGCAGTCTTACTGCACAGCACCTCCCAAATGTTTAAAATATGCTTCTGACCACATGACACATCTATGCCCCCTCACAGGACAAGAGGAGCGAAAGTGTGCGAACTGTGGAGAGGCGCATCCCGCTAACAGTCCCACTTGCAGATTCACCCCCAGGCGAAATCTGGAATTCATAGCGCAAAGATGCAGCAACTCATACGCGGAAGCAGCCGTCTCAACATCTTCGGTTGCCCCCTCTGTTCAACCCACTATGAACAATGTGGACCTAGCAACTGCGCTTAGGTCCCTTCAACAAATAATAAGTCCATTGATTAGCGCCACTCAGGCATTGCAGGCGATCTTTCCGCAGCCATTGAATGGCTAAGTACAATAGACAACCTGCATTTGTCATCTGTCAGGTATCTTGGAGTCATCATTGACAAGGGGTTGACCTGGCAGAAACATACTGATATTTTGAAAACAAAATTCCAAATCACCTTTCTGCAGCATTATCCTCTGTTGTGCCGAAATTCAAAATTAAGTTTGATCAACAAGATTCGGTTGTATAAAATGGTCAAAGACCCAAAATCACCTACGCATGCGCGGCTTGGTGTTTACTTGCCAAGACGCCCATGCAGAGGCTGCAAGTCTTGCAAAACAGAACCCTACGCACAATTACTAACGCCCCTTGGTACGTGTCAAATGAGACTATTCACAGAGATCTTGATATCCTATATTTAAGGGATTACGTAAAACAACAGGCGCAGCAGCGTTATAATCAAGCAGAATCGCACAGCAACCCTCTGTTGCGTGATTCAGTAGACTACACAGTCGAGCAAGTTCGCAAACATTCCAGGCCGCGCCTCGCACTGTGAATAAAATTAAATTGTAAATTCAGGCCAGCCAAAATTATTTCAGTATACAAAATCGATCAAAATCATTTTTTGGAGTTACAAAATAATTCAAGTAATCAAAGCAATAATGCTTAAGCTATTTAAAATGAGTTACTTCTTTTCTTTGCTCTATTTCTTCCTTCCTTTCTTTCCTTCTTTCCCTTTTCCCCTTAAACATGTTTGGTACCTGGGTAGCCAGACCTGACAGACTAACAGACCGACGAGACTTTAACTAAGAGCAAAGGTCCACCGGACCGCTCTGACGAACAATGACGAATAGTAGCAGAAAGGGGAAAGCTTCGAATCTCGGGAGAGTTCCAATATTAGTTGAATAAGAAACAAAAATGACTGAATTATCTTTGATATAAGATTTACAGAACTTTCATTCATTGTTTCAGATTTATGGTTGATGGAAAAACGGTAGAAGGAGTTTCTTCAAATTCGAAAGTATAAAGAAATTCTGTAGACTGTAATCCGAACGTAGCTCAATCAACCATTTTCTCATTTTAACAGCATTATGACACTGGAGAATGCCTGACCGTGGACATCCTGCAGATTTTTCACAGTCCACTTCTGACCTTTGTTACAGCATATATTTTCACAATCACACCAAAGAAATGTTTTCACTACAGGCAATAGAAAAAGTAAAAATGACATCTTTTAAGTCAAACTATTTGTTACATTCGAACTTTTTTCCATACCTAACAGTACCTTGAAATACCCGCATTAATTTCTACATACATAATGTACAACTATTATTAGAATTATTTTGCGGCCTAAGTGGTTTCTTTAAGGGTACTGCAGTATAATTAAAATGCAATCCTCGAAACGGTTTTCTAAGTACTTTATCTAACCTACTCTTGTCCAAAGCCATTTGTTTTTGAAGCAGATATAAGCGAGTCGAAATTTATTTGTATTAAACAGTTTTTGAAATAACTTTCTTTAATTTATTATCTAACGTTGGCCTAGTCTCAGTAGATCTCTCGGTAGCTGTGTAATAGTAAGCTTCACAACCTATAGTAGAGACATTTTTTCGTAAAAAGCTCAGTTTGTAAAGAAAGAGCAAAAAAGGTTTGGCCTCATTTCAACACCATTTTTTATAAAAACCGCATTTCATTTGAATAACCGCATTTTTATCTTATTTTTCCATATAAGTCACTTGTATTTTGACATCTAATTACCTTATACTACTTGTCTTGATGTGATGTTCATTCTTCTATATCTTGACATGAAGGTTAGAAATTACAGATATATTGTAAGACTATCTCAGCCTAACGTGCATTCTAAAAAATAATTATTATAGGTCTATCTACAGAACAATTCGCCATTATTATAAGTTCTTCCTAAATAAGAAATCATATCGTTGAAGAAAGCAGAGAAACCCATATCTAAGACCTAATTTGCGAATTTTACAACTTTTCTCACTGCAGCAAGGAAAGTTCTACACAATACCATGCTGTACTACAGATACAGATGTATGCTGTGCTTTTCAAACTTCATTTCTTGATTCTTGAATAAGTGAAGCTAGCAAGTTGAAATTCTAGATAATGAAATTGATACATCTTGACATAAAATTGACAGTTATGAATTTGGCGGTAGGGCGCATTTTTTGAAGAAAAGGGGGTCATGTGTCATTTTGAAGCTCTTCAGGAGTACGAAATGATGCTAGAATATAAAATCGTTGCTCTTCAAAATCGCGGACTGGCTGCCTGTCAAATTTTTGCGTATATGCAATGGTCTATAGTCCAACTACCAACCATCCAAACCAAAGTATGTTATATCAATCTTATAAACATGCATCCTAATATGTAATAGAATTTAAGATATGATAATGATGTCAAAGGTGAAAACATTTAATTATAGATTCAAAAGAATAAGATTGATATACTATAGCGTTTTGATGATTAGTTGTTGTTATAAGTGACTCAATGAACAAATATGCTCATTTTTGACAGGACAGTAATCCATCAATTTGGAAGATAATGCTATTATATTTTTGGCTCATACAGTGCCGGTGACGAGTTTTGGAGATGTCACATTATGCCCGCCATACCATTTGAAGAAAATTTTACGGTAAAATATAGTATTCATGCATCAATTTCTTTGTCAAAATTTCAGTTTGCTAATTTAAACCCTTCAAAAAATAAAGTGGGACGGGGGCCTCTTTGAAAAGCACTGTATAGTTGAGCAAGCCTAGCTACACACTGAGAAAAAGCTATGTAGTTAGACATAGCAGGCAAATTATCCTTTTCATTCCTTCAATGCTTTTTATTAGCATCACAGCGCAGAAAATAAAAGAAGAGATAAACGTCTTTGTCCAATATCATCCCTCGATGCACCAGAATACATGATATACGCACGACCTCTACTCGCTATACAGGGTGATTCAGTTTCGATCGAATAGATGCAAAGTCGTCCTGAGATCTACATGCTGGCTTGTTGGATACTAACAAATTCCAACTAGGTAGAAGGAGCCAGTCAATGATTTGTTTGTCTCCTAATAGTCATAATCTGTAGTGAGCATCAAAGACCACATGACATAAGTCAATTCTTTTTCAGTTCTGTTATTAAATTCGTGTGTTTAGAGTTATTTTTTAAAAGTGCGGATGTGTTAAGATAACTCTGGCTGTAGACAATTCCAGGACAAGGTATTCTTCCACCGATAAGTATGTTGATATACACCTAATGCTGTAGCTTTGTAGGCATTGGTACACGGAATAGAAAAAAGTATGCGCTAAAACTACGCAATTTTGGCGACAAACCACTGTAAACATACCGGGTTGGCTCCTAATCTATCCGTTGAGGGATACAAAGACTAATTTCAAGAAAACAGCATAATTAGCTCTGCAATTCGTATCGTCGTCCTCCACCATCCATCCGTTTTTAATAGTATGGTTTCACTACGTTCACAGAACTGGACGCAGTTAAAAATAACATGGAGAAGCGGTTTGTGCCTAATCGTGAACAAGACACCTTATACAGGGTGGACAAGATTGTGACAGGCTCCTGTAGAAAATGTCATAGGAGCTCTATGGATATGTAAGCCCCTAAGTAACACACCAGGAATGTTTTTTAAATCACTTCTGAAGCACTACATAGGTACAACGAATTAGGGTTTCACGAGTATATGATGATGTACACAGAAAAGAAACGCGATGTTCGTTTAAGTTATTTAATAAAAACCATTTTCCAGTAGCACCCTTTAGGGAACTGTATCTCTTACGGAAAGTCCCGCATTTTTTAAAGGAACTGATCACACTTTTTTTTTCGAGAGAGAATAACTGGCCATACACACACGTTTTTTAGCTCATTTGTGTTAGTGGGCGCTGCCACACTGCATGATAAAGCGGGAAGAGATTTTAGGGGTTCTTCCATCTGAAGCGGCGCATATTTTGTGATACTTAACAAAAGCCCGATGCTACATGACACGACGGTATAATTAGTGTTATTGGATTACACGCCCCATTCCAAATGACAGGCCAAAGGGCGGTTTTTGACCATACACATAGGAGCTTTCAGTGAGAATTGTCATCTGAAAAATAATATACTCGTGTTTAGACAATAGCTGTTTTCCGTTGCGCTGTTCTTTGGTGCACGCCAAGCGTCAAATTACAGACCCTACTACGACTTTCCAAGCGAAAGAATTTGTGTGTGTGTGTGTGTGTGTGTGTGTGTGTGTGTGGCCAGTAATTGACCACATATGTATATTGGGAAACATCAACTGAACCCATTTTGAAGACCCCGTAGGTACCGCTTTTACCCATCACTAGCCTAGACTTACTGCAAAGGACTGCATAGCTGCATGGTCAAAACGAATAAGCAAGAAAATATAGGCATCAGCTAGCAATGAATACGTTACGCATAACATCATGCACTAAATTGGTTGCTTAAACAGCAAAAACCACGTACCGTTTATAAACTTCTTTGGGGTCTAATAGCTTTCTAGCGGCGTTATTTTTAAGCCTAATCAGTAGTTCGAGGTTCAAAAGGGTAGCCTTTTCCCTCAGCGCCGCTAGTCTGCAACGAAAAACTTTCATGAAAATCCAACAAAGAAGTTATGAACAAAACTAACATAATACGTATTGATACTAAAAGATACCTCCATAACTTTTTTGTCCGCATTTCATGTATTTTCTTTTATTTGGATAAAGACTGTTTCAGGGTGAAATGAAAAAAGCATTGTCATTGACCCCATACACCAGAGTATCTCTTTATTACAGCTGTGAGTTATACGGGGTGATCAAAGAAATATGACATTTAAAGACAGAAACTAAGTTTTCAATTGTCGCTTGCCGAAAATGAGCATAGCTTTCTATGATACAAAATATAACATGAGTATTATTTAAGTGCTGTTGAAAACAGGAAGCACTAATTGAGTCGGTGAGATGGAAAACAGTATATGTACCAAATTGTACCAAACTGTTTCAGATAGAATGTTTACTTGCACAGGAAAGTTCTTGATCGTATTATTTCTGAACCAGGTAGGCACTCATTATTTTGAAAAAAAGATCACCCATTGAGTAATGCTCAAAGGGTAGTGGACTGTTTTTCAACTCAAGCAAAAAAAAGGTAAGAAATTGGCGCAATACTAAAATAAAAAGAATTATTCTTTAAGTATAACAAAAATATTTAGAGATGCCCTTCGGCCTCGGTAGTACACCATGAAGTAACACGATAATAAAATTCGAAGGTTTCTACTGTTGTATGTTGCATCACCTTTCTGATGCCATCAATTTTTTTCTAATTTATTGGAACAGGTGTTTTATAAGCCTTTTCAGTGGGACGGGCCGGATTTGCTTTATACTGGTTCAGAAGTTTAAAAGTGAATGAAGATATTCATTTATATACTCCAATCTCGTGACATAACCAGGGGTGTCACTATCATACAGAAACTGCCTGTAGTTCAAAATGCTAAACATTTCTTTTCTAGCTTGTTTTCGCCTATCGAAGTACAAGTAGTTTTCTTGTAGTGTAAAGACCACCAATTTTTGAAGTCAACTATGTCAGATGGCGAATTTGCTGAACAGTGAGTCATTTTATCGTAATCTTCATTAGTGTGTATACTAAAAAACCCGGTTAACAGTTCCAAAATTACGGTCGCAAGGTAATTACTATGAATGCCCACGCAGAGGAAAATAGTGATAAATTCTTTAAAAACTGCTAGTGGCCTGTAGTGCAAGCAGGAATTGGACCATTGTGTAGTCACGGTTCTGACTTGGGCAACTGTCAGAAAACAAGTGCAAGTCCGTTATCTCATTAGGACATATATATGTATATATATATATAGTCCTTGAGGAAAGTATTGTTTTTAACATTATGCACGTCAAAGCCGTAAACCCATAACTGTCGATAATAAAATATCTCCTGCACCGGAATCTGCGGAAGTGGCATGTTTTGGATGTAGTCAAATGTCAGTCCCATTGCGTCTTTTTGACTTTTACACTCTTCTTATGAACCATTACGTCGATGCATTACGAGTGAGTTAAATAACAGTACAAGTCCGGACTAGTACTGTTTTTCCGCTCAGTGACAGGTAGCATGTTTGCGTCTACAATAGAACGCAATGTATAATGTACTGTTTGTACGCTCAATCGATAGAAAAGCAAATTTAAAAGCGATTGGCTTTCCTAACTGAAAACGTCAAATTTCGAAATTGTAATGTTTTTCAACTCACCGATTCAATTACTCTCAAGGTACTCTCATGCGTTGGCTGGACCTGCCATGTCAAGCTTCCGCCAGCCTTCAAGGTAGAAGCTTATCATGTCTCTCAAACGCGGCAGCATTAATTTTCATGATCTCATGTAGTCCATAAATCAGAATTGGCGCAAAGGTTACTAACAATACACGGTGACAGCAAGGCTATCAGACCTATGGAGCCGGAGTATCGGTCCTAAACAAAAACTTTTCATTCAAAACAAACTATTATTGAGTTGCTTATATCATCTGAGGCCACATGTCTGAAATGTTCACTATTATACCGGGTGACCCAATTTTGTTACACATATCAAAGCTGGTTTTGTCTAACTAATGGCCTACTTTTCGATACATATCCGGATAGATTCTATATAACATATTCATGAACTTTTTTATTTGTTGTTGAGCTATTGGGCATCTTATATAAAACGAACACCAAAGTTTGACAACCTGTACATCTACTGTTTTGACTTTAGGCAGCATCAGTGGCCGCAGTGGTCGACGCTTCGGTCACCTGATCAGTCGCCGTGCGCTGCGCAAGTTCGAATCCCGTCTCAAGAGAAATTGTTTTCTTGGCTATAAATGTTGTAATTTTCCGTAGATGGTAGACGGTCTATGACTGTCGTACGCGGAGGTGCCACCCGGTGGATCTCGTAGGCGGGGCCAGAATATGTGCATGTTGCATGCACAGGTGTTCCCTCGCCAGAGTCCGTGTGGCGTTCTCCCTTTTCCCCTGTATCCTCCTATAGCTCCACAGTACCCCATGGGTGCTTAGGCCTTAGGCCTTCGTGGTAACTGGAGTATAAAAAAATTAGGAGTCGTGAATTTTGGGTAAGTAAGATAATCTGACAATATCTTGTTCCTCTGCTCAACTGACACGGAGGGTCGCGTTTACGACATATGATAAAAAATGTTTGTCGTACTTCAACATACAAAACATAACATGTTTCATTTTTATTTTAAAATGCACATTTCAGTGTTCAATGTCATTACGTAAACATGGTCTTGCGTTGATTCCATGAAAACAGAATAGTTTGAATACATGAATGTTTGGTTTCAATGACAAATCTCCTACACCAGGTGCTTCAAAATCGACCCTTACCATTGTTATCTCGGTAACGGTAAGAAAAACGAATTTTCCCAAAATTTTTTTAACTTTTTCCTGACTTTATTTGTAGTGGGATATTAGAATAAATTGTGCATTTATATTGCCAGTTTGTCTCCTCTACAGGATGGCGTAATTAGAATTTCCATATATTGTCCCCAGCATCAATTAAATTTTTACCTAAGGAGGCCATATTGGATTTTGCGCAGAGTAATAAAGTTGTCAACTCTGATTCCAAAAATGTATGATATGTTATATATTGACATTGACAAACCTCAATTATTTCAGAAAAACAGAATTTCCTAGGAAAGCCTTGGAATAGTTATCATAGTCATTTGACTCGTATACCAGACCAGACGTCAAATTGAACATAGGAGCAGAGTTTCGAAGACTGGAAAGAAGAAGAAAAAACATGAAACACTGACCAATGCACAGAAAAGAGTCAGGCTTTACCTACAAAATAACAAACAACATTTTGAACATCTACTATGATTTATCTCTACTTACTTGTTTTTGTGATTATTATTGTTAGTACCATTAATAAACATTTCATTTTCTGCTCAGACTTGACCATACCTCTTTGTTTCCTTATAATTTTCGTTCCGACACCAAATTCATGGCCAACAAAAGAAATAAAGCACTGAATTCAGTACTGAAAATTCCATTTTAATGTACAAAATTCGAAACAGCGCCCATACAAAAAAAAGTAAAGCTGGTGATGGAAGACGAAAGAAGAAACCTTGAATTGTATAGAGAATCAGCGGCAATGACCAGATGCAGACTATTTTGAAACTCCACCTCAAATAGTCAGGAAAAAATAAAACACGATTTTAGATTAAATCTAGTAGGCGAAACAAATGACTGCCCGATAATTTCAAGGCCTACCTAGTATATTGTTTTTTGAAATAACTAAAATTTAGCAATGGCCATGTATGACCTATTATACATTTTAGGATCAGAATTAAGAACTCTATTCACCTGTGTAAAACTCCAATATGGCGTCCTTGCGAAAAAATAAAATTGATGCTGGAGGACAAGAGGCGAAGCACCATATTGAAACTCTAATTACGCTATCTTGTAGAGGAGAAAAACTGGCAATGTAAATGCACAATTTACTCTAGGATCCCATTACAAATAAAGTCAGGAAAAATTAAAACAATTCATCATGCTATCTTGTAGCGGAGAAAAGTGGCAATGTGAATGTGCCATTTATTTTTAAATTCCACTGCAACTAAAGCCAGAAAAAAATTGAACTGGTTTTCGGATAATTAGTTTTTTCCATCTCTCTTCGTAAGAACTTTGAATTTGAAAGCTTTCTAAGTATGCAGCTTTATCCTCAATCTCTTACTGCTTCCAAGATCCTAATAGTCAGTGTCGAGTTTGAAATACTCGGTATATATCTTCTGTTTTCGTGGATACTGCAATATGTGTTTTCATACTAAGCAAATTACGAATAATTTTCAATAGTTCAAAAATTTTACAAACGAACACTACCGACATTTATTTGTATATCAGGGCAAAGCTGGTAGAAATATGGGTCCAAATATACATCTAATTTATTTGAGAAAAAGTGCACACCATGAATGGAACGTTCAAAAAATCTATGTATCAAGTTAGAATTGAGTATGGTAAAAATATTGAAACAAAACCTAAAAGTATCTCTATCTTATTTTCTCCAAAGGGCCAATATGGATATGTGATAAATAGTAGGCCATTCTATTTACAGAAAAATCAAGTTTCATATGCGGGTCAAAATTGGGACATTCTGTATAACTGCGAATATTTTAGCACTGTGCTAATACTTTTGTCGAGTTATTTTATTTTAAGACAGATGTCGGAAAAGGTGATCGGTAGCGAAGAAAAAAATATTTTCAAGCAACTTATATTCCTAGCTTGCCATATGCCTTTTTGTCGAACAGTGAAAAAATTTCGTACGCGTTATGCATTTTCGCGTGGTCTCAGCTTCTCGAAAATTCGATTGCGAGATTCAAGAAGGTACTTAATCAGTTTTGTCACATGAGACATTGACCATTCGAGATTCGAGAACAGTCCCTATAGAAATCAAGCTGAACAACCAATACTCCATAAGAATATTCATAGCTTGTTCATAATATAAAGTCGCATTCCAAGCGTACATTCGTTTTCCTGTTCAACTTAGAAATGAAGTTTCAGCAAACAGCGCTCAACTGTTAGTTATCCTGTGATAAAAATAAATACC